CCATAGTGCATGGTCCTGTGTTTTTTTTCTGCACAGTTAGTGAGAGTGTATTTTCTGATATTTCATGTGCACAGATAATTTCTTCCACTTTGTATATAATTTAAAATCTTTGCTCTGCTCTTCAAAATATATTCTGTTGTTAGAAAACAGGAAATCATGCCTAGGAAGGAAGGTAAAAAGAAATCTAAAACAATCTACAATCACTTTTATTTTAATATTTTGGAATGGCAGGGTGACAGTTAAATATATGCTTGTGGATTTTGAAGCAAAGCAAACAAAAAAATAAAATCAAAATGGAAACTTGAAAACTGAATCAGTGTTTGAAAGAGTCTGGGCTTTAGAAGCTGGTATAATTTCTTCATAAGCTTGTTTGCTACTTATTAATAATAGTGTTTCATGCCTGGAAAATATGAGAACAGATTGCCTATTGTTGCAAGTTGTCATAGTTCCACTGAAATGAATGGCACCATCTTAGGACCTGTCACATGTTTGCTTTCTATTAGCTGTAAAGTCTCTCCATACTTTTAGCATAACACTGAACAAGGTGTTTCTGTTCCCTCCTGTTTAAGTGTATTGCCAGCGTTTTTTTCTTCATTCAAACCTGTGTGTGCTATAGGATTGAAGTGTATGTCTAGGTTAGGTTAATGATACTTCATTACATAGTGGTTCCCTTTTAATTTCTGTGAGATTAGCCCCTCTTTCCACATGCAAATAAAGGTCACTTCTGCACTTTCAGTGCTGTCTTAATTTGTCTCATTAAATGACAGACTATTGTTCTTTCTTTATCTTCTTACACCCTTGGGTGTTCACCAGTTTCCACTGTTTTTTTCCCCTCGTTTTTAATCATCACACTGATGGATCAGCTTTATTATTATTATTTTCTTATCACTGTAAAATTTATTTTGCTCCCTCTTTTTTCTTCTCCTGAGAGGATGTCTGCATTTTTACCATTTTGTGACTTTACTGATAGTGTCAGCAGGACAGAAGAAATTTTTTCTCTGATGAATTGGAAATCTAAACAGTGTACAAATAGACTGAAGGATGTAGACTACAGAAATCATGACTGGCAGGAGAAATCCAGCCAGTAGTTGTGCATACTATGACTTTCATTTGCTTTCAAAAATGTTTATTGAGGACAAACTTTGTCCTATTTTTCTGTATTTCCCACTCCTTAATAACATGCACCTTCAACTTAGTGTATTGAAAACATTATTTAGTGAAAGAATGAGAAAAGCCCTGTGAACATAACCCTTCTTTGAGTCATGTGTGTCGTCCTCCACCCCCTGCCTTTCTTTTCTACTAGATCTCAATCTCATATTCAGCCTAACTCTTTGTACAGAGGTGTTACAGCTTGGTACTCTCTTGCCTCCTGCCTCTCCAAGGCATATAAATCCTTTCAGCCCTATCACCTCCATGGTACTGCTGACATACAACACTCTTGATCAATCCACTGTGAAAATTGCTGCTGCTGCCTTCATTTCCTCCTGTTTGGACTGCTGTAATTCACAGCTGTCAGGCATTTAGCTGCTATAATACTCCATAGGGTTGGTACTAGTGCAGTATGCTGTCATAACATGACATGTTTTGGACCATGGCTACTGTATGTTTTAATTTCTGAAAGCTGTGGTCACTTGTTGCCTTCATTGGTATCTGAAAACTTGAATTTGTTAGCATGTTTTCACTGGGTTCCTCCTCCTAAATCAGTTTGCATTGATAATAGTTAATTGCTCCCCTGACCTCAAGTGTAATGCCATTCAACCTCAGCTCTTTTTGCTACAGTAATTTTTCATTTCCTTTTAGTTCCAGATTCTCTCTCTTCAGATCAATGATTCCATGGGTAAAGTTGCTGAATGATTTAAAAAAACCAAACTATTAAGTGGGTAGAAATTGAATGCATGTGAAGGACTTGAACAATGGAGAAAGATCATGTTTTTATAAATGCAGAAATTGATGCCACCTATTACTGCTGTCTGAGATATTATTAAAATAATTTAAGTTGAGCACAGTGAGACCTTCAATTTTCTTTGCATCTTTATTTAAATTAATGTATTATTCCTTTGCATGTACTGTTCAAAAGTCTGAAGGCTGCATAATTTACAAGAAAACAAGTTGCTGAGCGTAATGGGCTGAATTTTTAATATCCTTGAATTTCATGCCCATAATTAATCACCCACGCTCAACTGCAGACATAAATGTTAGCATTTACACATGTCAGGGAGGCAGAATCTTTCAGTATTACCACCTGCATTAGATTTCAGACACAAGAAATAAATAGAAATACTTTTCCTAAAAGGGCCAAGCGAATTACAGTTCCATAGGATCAGGATGGCAGAGTATTGAGAGCACGCCAGGCTGTATTTTAGTATTTTTAATTATAGAAATAACAAAGGACAAGGCTGGTGAAATACATGTATTGTAGACTTGATTTATACACAGCTGTAAAGCATTTTTAGGGTTGGTTCTTTGTTTTGCTGAAGTTGAGTATGAGTTTTTTCTTTAAGTTACCCAGAGCGAGTGGTTGGGGTATGTCAGGAGTGGCCATGGGTTGCACCCTGCGCTGCAGGCGTGGGATGCAAATGCAGGGGCATGAAAGAAGCTCTGTGGTGCCATGGCTCACAAGGAGGAGCTTTCTATTTGCAGCACAAGAAACTCTGGTATAATAGCCCTCGATGCTGTGAGAAACTGTTTTGGAGCAGGGGGAAGATGCAAAGGAGTATGTCGTGCAATTAGTCACAGCAATACCTGTTCTGAAATACAGCAAAACTTGAGCATCTGTTGCAGAAGTCATAAAATCCACAGGGTGCTTAAGAACAAAAAAACCTGCAAGAAGGAAAAAAACCCCATATTGAAACAACACATATCTTTTGGGCTGTAATTTTAAAACTGATAGAAGTAATGGGTAACTTTTAGCTTTATAATTTGCCATGGCACTTTTTACATGGTTTCCTTTTCCCCGCTCTGTGCTTTTCAACCTTTCCAAGCCATCTTTTCATTCATTTGGTTTTAATTCAGTTCCAGTTCATCTTAATGCCAAAGCAGTTCCTCTGTGGGTGAAGAAGTAAACGTGTAATGAAGTCACCAAGTAGTTCTTAGGGCCAAGTTCATACTAGTAGGAAAAGCAGCCAAAGGCTGTTCTGGGGCCCTGTGGCCAAATGACCTGGCACAGCTTGTCTCTATGCAGCTAAATTGATTTACATCCCCAAAACAGAATTACCTCATCCAGACTTAGGCCAGGGACTATTCCTAGCAATGGCATGCTTGGTCTTTCTTGAAGCCATACCTAAAACATGCCAGCCACTTAGTTTGGACTCTTGTGTGTCGACCTCTGCCTTTGTCCTGTTGGTAGCTGATGTTTGTGGGTCTCACCTTTCTAACCTCAGTGAGGTGCAGGCAATGGCTGACTCAGGTCTTCTCTGTGAACTCCTGATAGTTTTAACTCTTGAGCTTTACGATAATAAGGTGTGCAATGTTTTGTTAAGGTCCTCAGGCATTTTACTTGCACCAGTAGGCTGATGGAAAATTTCATATTTATCATACTCAAGGAATAAGTAGGAAATTAAACCAAATGAGGAAGATAAATCCTTTCAGTGTCTCCAATAGTGACAAATTAGAGAGCTGAAAATACTCGCTCTCTTAATGTATACGTATTTTTATAAATTGTTTTCTTCTGAGATGTTTGTACATTTGAGTGAAAACTTCCACAATGGAATGTGCCAGAAAAGAGCAAAACCCAGCATAAAATGTTTTGTTCTCAGAGATCTTAGGGCAATAAAATTAAAGATGCAGTGTAGAAAACTATTCTGTTTATGAAATACTAATTTAACCAATTCACCCTGTGTAAAAAGAGCAAGAGTTTCACACTCACGTATCCTCTTGATTTGACTTTTGGTGGCTGATGAAGCAACACAGTTGTGTTACAAGTGCTGTTGTAGCTGGGCAGCAGTTTATTACTTGGCCCCACTGGACATGTAGGGGGTGGTGGGAGGTCTCCAGCACAGCCCCAGCTGTTCAGGGCTGTCTCCAGTTGTGTCTCAAAACTCTTGAGACCCCAGCCCTGATGGGCAGGGAGCCTCTTCTTGTGCTGAATCATCTTCAGAGAAAAAAAAAAACAGCTGGTACCTCTCTAGCATCAGCCTGTGACCAGTATTTACTCATCTCTTGCTCTGCAGCTGAGGAGAGAGCCTAGTACTGTCTTTCTAGTAGCCTCTCCTTGAGGACTGGTGGGGGGGCTATTAAACCACCCCAAAAATTTTCTCTTTTCCTGGCTAAACAAGCCCCTTTCCCACAGACTTTCCTCACAGGCATGTGTTTATGGTAATGGCAAAGCTTATTGCTACAGTAAGCATTTATTAAAATATTTTCAAGTTTTTGTTGATTTCTGCCTCTCCCATGTGCATCAAAGAAAGGCTTTCAGTTTTAGAAAAAAAAAACGTTCAGGTGTATTCTGTGTTAAAGCTTAAAGTTGCCTGATGATTTTAAATAATTGGGTTTTTTAATGCTTTCTGGACTAGTCATTGCCTTAATGACAGATTCATCTAATGAGAGTTGACCTCCTACTCTTTGTGTAATGTCTTATGGGTCCTTTAAAACCCAGTTGAGGGAATGTGATACAGCATATGGAAACTCACCCTGGGTTTTCACAGGCTTCTGAGAATATCTTCTATACATCTAACGTATTGGTCAAGTGTGATCCATTGAAAGTCTTTCTTTAAAGTACTTATTTGCAACGTGTTTGGAATTTACAGCAGAATTCACAATACTTTTTGGATGTACTTAATATAACTGAAAAGAAAAAATGTTTCTCAGTCAGTTATAGCTACATGCAAAACTACACTGACAAGGTAATTAAGTCTCTGACAGGGACTCTGCAGTTTGTGCATCTCTCTCTTTATGCTGTGCATGCTTGTGATGGTCACATTTAGTTATATTGGTAGAGCTCTTGCTTGTAGAAAGGACTGGAGATTAAAACCCCCTCCAGGCCTTAACTTTTATGGATCACTATGGCACAAAGTCCTCTTTCAAATGAGGTACAAAGTTAAACTCTGACGGCTCTTTTAGGTAATAGATTAGATAAGAATGTCCCACAGCACTTTTGTGATTTACATGTGTTGTGCTTTTCTTAAGACCTACCTCCACTGGTAAAAACAATATTAAGGCAAAGTAACTTAAGGTATGGCTTTTGCAGTCATGGAAAATCCACTTGATTGAGTTAATTATGGGCAAATAAACAAGTAATGTTACACATGAGGTCTAAATGATCTTATGTGCTTGTTGCAATAATTACACTCTGAGAAGCTAAGTCATTCTTTTACAAACTGCAGATAGCCAGCTTAGGTAGCAGAGTGTGGTGGAATTTATTGTGTATATGCACATTTGCTTTTAAAACACAAACAGGTACCTTTAGAACAATATTTCTGTTATTTATTTTGAACAAAGGAGTGGTGATTTTGCTGGTTTCATTTTTACCTCTTGTTTCCATGCAGGTCCAGGCAACAGATGCAGATGCTGACCAGTTTGGTGAAATAGCATATTCTCTTTATGATGGCTTCCATTATTATGAAAAATCCAAAGCCTTCCAGATTGACCCACGTACTGGTCAGATCTGTGTGTCTCAAGACATTGACAGAGAAGAAGATCCAACCACTTACGATCTCTTAGTAAAAGCTACAGATGGGGTAAGTTTCACCCTTCCATACTGCCAGACACATGAATGCGTTTGCGTGTTTGGATGTGCTGTATGTTTTTAAAGGAGAATGGAATATGTGAAAAATGTATGATTTTGAATGTTTCTTACTCCTACAGAGGGCAGAATGGGATACTTCACAAAGCATAAATTTGGACCAAAATTGATAACATTGGCTGTGAAATCCAAAATCACTCCCAAACAAGTTGTTGGGAAACATTTTTAGGACGTGTTAGTCCCTGCTTATTTTCCTCCCTCTCTTGGAACCAGTGGACTCCAGGTTACCTATGCTCCCTGCTTTCAAGATGACAGCAGCAGTAATAAAAACACTAACCTTGTGCTGAAACTCCCTGGTGGCTGTGGATGCCAGTGGTTTTCCTTGATTGCTTTCCTTGTCCTTTTTAGCTGGCTGATGCAATTGCTGCTGTGGCTGGGTATAGCCTCCTTGCAGCAACATGTCAGAAAGTTTTCCCACTTTGCAGGGTGAGCTGGTGCATTCGATGTAGTGGGAACCCATAGAGATGTCTGGGTGTGGATACTTGCTCTACTGCATACTCTGTAATAGAACATTTTGGTAGCCTGATTTCTGAAAAAGAATGCAAGAAAATAACTTCTGGGTTCATTTTGTTATGAAAGTATCCAAAGGGTGTTCGTACTGAGAGGCCCAGGCAGATACCCCTGGTACTTTTCTTACCTTTCTTCAGCTTTAGTAGTGAACTGTGAAGAGGCTGAAGGAGAAGGCTACTGGTTGGTTGCAAATATTAATTTTAACATACGGATACTTTTTTTTAAACTTACTGATTCATATAATTCAGGTCACATTTTGCAGCACAATTTGAATTGAAAAACATTGAAAGTAAATTGTATGAAGCTACATACTATTAATTTCATACTTTGGAAGTTAATCTTGTATTTATTGTCCTAAGTGTGTCTAATATAATTCTTTTAAGTTCAGTTGTGCTAGAACTAAATTTTTCATTAAAATCTCTGTCCTTGTTACAGTGCACTGCAGAAAATTAGGGGAGTGTGACTTCTATATTAGTAAGTAGATGAACTTACATAGCTGCTGTTAATGCTTGGTATTGATTGTTGATTTATGAGAATGTAGTAGCTGAGAGTGTATTTGTATGCCATTGAATTTGGATATATGTGTAATAGTTAAGCATCTGCTTTTTTTCTTTAACTATCACCATTAAGTATTTACTTCAGAGGCTACAGAACCATTCTCTTGTATTAACAGTGCCTTTCGCAGTTTGAGTTTTTTCCCCTCATAGATTTATTTCAAGGAGAAGCAGTTGTATAAGATTATATTTTTGTTTGTGTTTTTGTTTTGTGGCTGTATCTTATTTGAATATCTAAGAATTTAAGAATGTAGATATTTTTGTTAGGATAGTGTCTGTAATCTTCCCAGCCGAACTAAGTCTATGTGCCCTTTCTGGAGTTTCTATGATTTGTGATTTCTGTCTTCAAAATTCCTTTCTAGGCAAAATTTTTTAGCATACACCTGAATACATATTTCCAAGTCTTGAAGAATAAAGTAGCCAGTGTCACAATGAATAACAGTGTAAAATTATGTATTCTGCTATAATCCATCACTCTTTTTGTTCTTGCATATACATGGTTTGAAGCTGTATCAATGCAAAGAGTCCATACATGTATCCAGAATATAAAGGTTAATCTTCTTAATGAAGGCTAAGGGAGAGCTGGACAATAGAGTGGAATTCTGACAAGTTTCTCAGGTATCCAGTCTGGCCCAAAAGATTTTTGAAAATGTGAAAGAAAATAGGTTTATATGAAAAAAGCTTTTTGCCTTTCTGTTTCTGTTGTTGAATTATTGCTTTAGTGATAAATCTAATATTAAAGTTAAAGGAAAATGCCAATGCATTGAAACAATAGAGGATTTAATTATTAAATTGGTCTGTGATTTATCTTCTTTGAGGGACCTTGTGCTTTCAGAAGTTCAATAATGGGGAGAGGGATTCAATTTTTTATTGCCTTGTCTGGGACAGGCAGGACTTGATCTTTTTACTGCTACTCAGCAATTTGTAGATCCCATTGATTTTTCTTTTAAAAATTAGCTCATCTGACACATAAATACTAAAGCATCTAAATTCAGTATTTTTATCAATTTTCAGTATCCCTGAAATTATGTGGAGCCACTTTTCACTTTTACAGCAGAGTTGTAGTAGGATATTGTATTTCCTGGCATTCTGCTGGTGATTTTGATAGATTAAAAGACATTAGGTGTGGATTTCAAAGTAGAGGCTGTTACCAGGGCAAAAATGTGTGCAGAAAAGACAGTGGAAGACTGAAGGGTCACTATTGACAAAGGGGAGGGAGAGAGATGGAAAGGAAAGAAAATAACTAAGTTAATTAGAAATGAGGAGGAAAAGAAAGAAGTTTCCAGGTGGTGCTCAGTTTGTCTTACAGCAAAACTATCAGTTTCCTGCACCTGTTCATGCCTACTCTATTACATGGTTTTCAAAGCTTGTTGGTTGTATCTTCTATGCGCTATGTAGAAAGAGTAATAGGAGAACTGCAGTTGCCTTAGGAGCCTGTAGAGAGGCAAGTTGAAAACAGATTCTGTTAAACTGATGTTAAATAAACATCCTGTGAGAGCATGTGGGAGCACTCTCACTGATTAAATGAGGACAAGACTGATCAGAGTGTTAACATTTTCAGTTGGCAACACTGGTTTTGGTCCTGAAGTCACTGACTTCACATATATGTTTGGTGATACTCCTTGAAATGCTTGTATATGAGAAGAAATCATGTAGCTAGGTTTCTAGAAAGGTGTTTGCACTGAATTCCATGGCTTCTGCATTTAGTTTTCTCCTTGGGTCTCTGTCTGTGGCAGATTGACAGCTGCTCCAGTAGTGACAGTGACTCTCCTGTGATTCACACGCAAGCTCTGCCTGGGACACCCCCATTCAAACTGCACCCTTAGTCATAACAGCTCTATTTCTTGCACTTGTGACAGGTCAGAGGCAGTTTCAGTAGGCATTTGGGGAGGGGAGCCTTTGAATTTGCAGTCAGCTGAAAATGTCTTACAATTTTGCTACAATATTTTCTGTCTCTGGAAAAAAAGGGGTAAAAGTTACGTTGCTTGGAGAACCTTCACAAACACTTAAGAGAGATTTAGATGAAGCATAATCCTGCAAGGATGAAAATGCAGAAAAAGAGGAATTATAATAAAACTATTTGCATGTTCTCAAAAGCATTACACTGCCCAGTCCTATTTAACATCTTTATCAATGACCTGGATGTGGGGATTGAGTCCACCCTCAACAAGTTCACAGATGACACCAAGCTACAGGGAGAGTGTCAATCTGCTGGAGAGTAGGAAGAAGCTGCAGGGGGTCCTGGACAGGCTGGGTCGACAGGCCGAGGCCGATGGCATGAAATTCAACAAGACCAAGTGCAGGGTCCTGCACTTTGGCCACAATAACCCCAGGCAGCGCTACAGGCTGGGGGAAGAGTGGCTGGAGAGCAGCCCAGGAGAGGGACCCGGGAGTACTGGTTGACAGCCAGTTAAACATGAGCCAGCAGTGTGCCCAGGTGGCCCAGAAGGCCAATGGAATCCTGGCTTGTATCAGGAATAGTGTGGCCAGCAGGAGTAGGGATGTAATTCTCCCCCTGTTCATAGCACTGGTGAGGCCTCATCTCAAGTACTGTGAGCAGTTCTGGGCCCCTCACTTCATGAAGGATATTGAAGTGCTGGAGCAGGTCCAGAGGAGAGCAACAGGGCTGGTGAAAGGACTAGAGGGAAAGTCTTATAGGCATAGGCTGAGGGAGCTGGAGTTGTTTAGCCTGGAGGAGACTCAGCAGGGACCTTATCACCCTCTTCAGCTACCTGAAGACAAGAGAGCGTGGTCTTAAGCTGCTCCAGTGGAGGTTTAGGTTGGTATTAGGAAGTACTTTCTCATGAGGAGAGTGATTAGACATTGGAATGGACTCCAGGGAAGTGGTGGAGGTACCATCCCTGAATGTGTTCAAGAAAAGGCTGGATGTGGCACTTAGTGCCATGGTCTAGCCAGTGTGGTGGTGTTAGGTCATAGGCTGGACTTGATGATCTTAAAGGTCTTTTTCAGCTTTAGTGATTCTGTCAACAAAATTACTACTTTTTTGGTTTTGAATATATGCAAATTGAGTCTGGTATGTTTTAATTCTTCTGTTTGGCTTCTTTTTGTTTGCTTTCACAACGTGACTGAAATGGACACTCTACTATGTGTCTTTCCCTGCTCACTTGAGGATCTCCAAACTACTATGTACATAAATTTATGCTTCCTTTGTGTTTGTTTTGTGTACTTAAATAATTTTCATGCTGGAAACTTCTTTTTTTTAACAGCACACACTTTTGCTGCAATACAGTGGCAAATTTTATTGCGATGTATCATGCATAATTTAGTCTTTTTTTCATTAATTTGGATATTTTATGATGCCCATCACCTCTCTTTCAACCAGAAAAAAACAGTAATGCCTGCAGGTGTTAAAGAAAATCTGTAACATTGAATTGGAATAATGCTAATTTAAATTCTGTCTAGTGGCATCTGTACTATCAGCTTACCATCAATAGTTTTCTGGCCTTTAAAGCCAAAGTCTGAGTTGCTCAATCTTGGGGCTGGTGCACAATGAAGGCTGTTCAGGAATGTGCAGCCTTACTCTGGGAGGAGCTGGGCCACACAGTTTTCTTCAAAAGCTGGAGAAAACTGGATGATCAATGCTTGTGAGAGTTGCTACTGGGCTTAGACCAATTCTAGCAGCAAACTTCTCTGTAGGTAACACACTGCAAGTACCAGCACACCATCTCTCTTCATAAGTGTGGCAAGAAGTTTGAAAAAACTGCAGAGCACAGGCAGGGTATTCTATCACTCCTTGTACCTCACCACTGTCAAGGAGTGCCACACCACATCTCTATAACCTACTGAGAGTTCAGAGGTTTAGGTTTGTTTTTGTTGTTGTGGTTTCTTTTCTCTTTCCAGAGTAGACTTCTTTAGTTTTGTTTTCTCCAAGTGAGGTTCTTGAGCCCTGTGATAGGACTACCCTTAGTCCTGATTGTGAGTGAGAAGGGAAAGACAGAACTTTTTGTTTGAGTTTCCTTTTTATTCTGGACTTCAGTCACAGCTTTTAGATGTTTTCAGGGTTGAAGACATGTCACGGCATGTCTTTCATCCTAACTTGTTGGCCCAAGGAATCCATGCCCACTGTACTGATTAGAATAGAATAGGACTACACTGTTGCAGTTGGAGGGGACCTGCAATGATCATCTAGACCAACTGCCTGACCAATTCAGGACTGACTTAGTTAAAGCATATTGCTAAGGGCATTGTCCAAATGCCTCTTAAACACTGACAGGCTTGGAGTATCAACCACCTCTCAAGGAAGCTAGTTTTTGACCACCCTCTTGGTAAATACATTATTCTTAATGTCCAATCTGAAACTCCCCTGATGCATCTTTGAACCATTTCCATGTGTCCTATCAGTGGATCAGCATAAAGACTGAGGCAAAAAATTATTTAATGCCTCCACTTTTTCTTCATCCCTCTTAGTCAGATGACTGTCTTCAGCAAGTACTGGTCCAGTCTTATCTTTAGACCTTTGCTTTCTATTAACATACTTGAAAAAGTCATTCTTAGGTGAAACAACACTGGCCAGTTTCAATGGTAGCTGAGCTTTCCTGCATATATGAACCAAAGCTCTGTAGTCTTCCTGTGAAGAGTTCATACAATTTCTTTTTCTTCTAGGGATCCACAAGGAGTCAGTCCTCTGTTCAGCCAAGCTGGTCTTCTGCCCTACTTGCTTGACTTAAGACAGTGAAATTGCCTGTGGGCTCATAAGCCCTCAAAAACAGATTTCCAAACTGCTAAATAGCTCTCTCAATAGCTTAAAATTTGCTCTCCTGTGTAATAGTGAAACCTTAGAGATCATCTTACTGCCATTCTACATGGAAAAATACACTGTTCTCATCTCTTGCATTTTGGTAAACCACACTGCTTCTCCAGTTTTCTTTGTCTTTTACACTGAAGCCATTGAAACATGGAGACAAGATCCCATCGCTCACAGACAAAGCTTCTGAAGTACAAGGTTTTAAGTAATTGGCAGTCTCTCTTTGTTTTGACAGCATTGTTGCTTCAAGGCAACGTATGTTTTAAGTTTAACATGCGCACACACATGAAAAAAATGTCTTCATGTCAAAGATCCTGTATATCACAGTTTAGTTGGGAACAAAAATCTGACAGCACACTTCACTGACAAAAATGTTCCAGGCTGTCATGGAAATCTTGCTGAGTTCTTAAGCATTTCACAACACTGAGATGAAGACATAAAGCTATTTGAAGTAACACTGTTTCTGCTTACTAAGCTAAAGAGTCTCTTCTGCCAAAGGCAGGATAGTTATTTTTTTGAGACATGATAAAGAGACGTACCAATAGCTTTATATTTTTGCACAAATTTGGTCCTGCCAAGGTACTTGTGGTTATTTTGACTTGGTGGTGGTTTCATATGTCCTGTTTTTGTTCCATAGGAGACCCAACTCTCAGGATTCTGAAAAAGTGCTACTAATTGTGACTTTTTGTTGCATCAAACAGTGCAACAGTAATTACAAATATTGAACATTTGAGAAAAAACATTTCAAAACAAACAACTGTGGCTTTCTGTTGCCTGTAACATGTTTTGACAAATGTAAATCTGTCAGCAGCAAAGGTGTTTAAATCAAGCTTCATATTTTGTAAGATCTGCTATGTTGTGCGTGCTTCTGAGTATATGAAATATATTCATATGGTTAGAAACAGAGGCAGTTTATTCCTTCTCAGTTGGGATGATACTTAAATTTTTTCATAGAGTAAGAACTGGGCCCTAGCAAGTTAATATTGTGAGTTTATATTTTACTTGATTCATGTGTGAGAGAATAAATGGCTTCTTTGGGAAAAGGAGGATTTGTCTCCAAGATAAAACTTCATCTTTCTTCTGAGAGATTAAGTAGTTAGTAGGTGTCCAATATATTTCTCCCATATACTTTGATTTAACTGATTTCCAGTCTTTACATAACTCCATAAGATAAATAAAAAATTGCGGGAAAGTGAGAACTTTGTCTGTTTAGTAATAATTAAACTTGGAAGATCAGTTTAACAGAAGTTATCATGAGTTTTGCAGCCTGGTTTTGTGCTGTTCCAAACTTGCCTCTTTTTAGATGCTATTTGTTCTTGACCTTGCATCTTCCTTGGCCCTGTTCCCTTAAAAATGTCGTTTCTGATACCTGTCCTGAAGTACCTGAAAGCTGTGGAGCCACAGAGCATTTTCTGACAGTGGGCTTGAACAGAGCACACAAGATTCTCCTTTTAGCTCCTGTGCAGGAATTTCCTTCCTGTGGGAGTCAAGACATTGGGGAAGAAGCTCACCCTGAAGTGGGTTTGGGATATTGGCAGTGAGACCACTAGATCTGTACATCTCCACTTCCCCATATCAGCACAGGGCTGTCTCAGTCGTTTGAGGCTGGTACTAGCCCTGCACCCTGCTCCGTCCCTGTCCCCGGGTGCATGTGCTCACTGCTGGCTGCCTCTGTGGCAGCATTAGCTCTATAATCATGTCATATCTTGTTTTCTTTGGAAGAAAACCCAAGCATACCAGGAGGATATGGGCTAGATCTCCTAGTTTAGTGCAACAGAGATGCATGATGCACAAGATCATCTGAATTTTCCACATATTTGAGCTTTCATGAAGGTGTCACTGCCACCCAACAGAGGTAATATTACTATATGGAAGAAACAAAGCAAAACAGAAGAAAGCTAACATCTCTTGGAAGTGTCAGGGGGAATGCAGATAGTATTTTTGCCCAAAAGCCGGACCCTGGGGACATGATAAGCAAACCTTCAAAAATAGTTTTGGAGAAGACTATTATGCTGCAGGGCAAGTCTGAAAGGGAAGTATCCAGTCTGATACTATCACTGGATAGTTTAATGAAGGTCAGGTTTAAAAATAATTGATATGAATGCTTTGGTTGCAGAAATATGCAACCTAGCTATTTTTTTTATGTCATAGCTACTGTGACCTCAAAATTAAGTTTGGGCTTGCTTAGCATAGCTTGTCATGTGTATGCAGCAACATCTGACCTGTGCCAGAAGTTTCAGTAAGTGACTAATCAATGCAAGCACAGCATTCTCAGCATGACTTTGAAGAGCACAGGATTCATCTTCAGTCTGTGTATTAATGTCTGGTGTATAGCATGTGCAGGTTATACATACGTGTGCTGCTTTGTGCCTCTGTTGTATGTGTCAGGGCCCCAGCATCCGCTGTTAGCTGTGCCATAAGTGGAGCTGCTTTCTTTTAAAAGTGTCTGTAGTTGTTACAGCTGTAAAAGAAACTTGGAAATATGAATCCCTCCCAGCTGATAGAGGGAGTCCACAGGGAGTGTAAAGGAGTGCCTTTGAGTAGTTAATTGCCATTCGTTTCACTCTGAGCACTGTGGGGTTTACACTTGAGCACTCACAGAACTCTGTTTTTTCCAGATTATCAGAAAATTCAATGCTTTGCCATGGCAAATTGTCATTTTTGCTGTAGCAAAATTTGATAAACCAGCTTTTTTCTTACTTCTCGAGTTTCACTACAGAGCAAGGCTAAATGTCGTCTTGTGGCTGCTCAAGTGGTATTTTAGTGGAGTCTTGGTGGGCACCTGTAGCAGGAGCTTCAACCATGTGGAGAGCAGTGCTGGGATTGTGAAAAGATATCGTGCTGAAGCTGTGCTGGAAGTAATTTTATGTGATCAGTTATAAATTTTACATCAATAAATTGTTTCAAGTATGTCCTTTCGTAAAATTTGATATTGTTTTCTCTCTGTGTACAGAAAGTGTGCATGTGCATACATACCAATGTATACACACAAATAGAAATATTTGTGTGTGTATTTATATATGTATCGGCAAATACGCCACTTGAGCTGAACTTCTTGAACTTGCCTGGGTGGTAAATTGAGGATAGGTCTTGTGGGCTGTAGCTTTACAGGTCAGCCTTTGGCTGTTCTTCACTGCTCTGCTCTCGGCCTGTGTTTCTAATCAATAGTTGAAGAGGCCTCATATTGATTGTTGTGATGGTCATGCTCTTAAATCTAAAAGACTCATAGACAAAAAGAAGTTACTCCTGCTTTGCTGGGCAACTGCAGTCACCTGAGGGGCACGTGACTTTTCTCTGTGCAGGAGTAGGTAGTGTTTAGGTGATTACAGTAAAAGCAAATGAGACTAGAGTAGCAAGGATATGACATGTGCAGTGCTTGTTATTATTAACAAAAATAACTTTGACTTCACACTTCACCATCATAAGAAGTTGAACTTCTTTGTGTACTCAGCCCATTTGAGCTGTTCTGAGTGTGTAACTTGAGTAAATGTAGAATCTTGGAGTATTAAAGATACCTCCATTTTTTTAACAGGTATTTTAATTCCTCAGTAATGTTGCAGCATGTTTAGTTTCCTGGTGATGGACTGAAGACAGATGTGTATCATTCTATTGTATACACCTTTAAAATTGATCTTAATTTTTGTGGGTTTCTTTTTTTTCTGATTTATCCAACAGGGAGGGCTGAGTGCCCAAGCTTTTGTCCGCATTGAGATAGATGATATTAATGATAATCCACCTGTTTTTGAACAAGCCATCTATGTGACAAGCATCAGCAGTCACACACAACCAGGCACAGAGATCATCAATGTTGTTGCCACAGACAGAGATTCAGGAATATATGGCATTGTCACTTACGAGCTGGTCCCAGGAGAATCTTCTTCTCTTTTCACAGTGGATACTTCTACAGGTACTGTACGATTCAGAAAGACTATTATATAGTTATCTTTCTCTTTATTATGCTTTTTAAAATTTATTTGGAGTCATCTCATACAACTGAAACTTGGATTCTGCTGGAAAATAATTCTAGTGGAAGATGAGTGATTTAAGTTTAGCATATGAAGCCTTTGCATTCACTGGAATGAATGGGACAATGGGAAAGATGGTACATTCCAGTACAGTTTAGAGCAAGTGATATGCCACTTATCCACTATTTTAAGCCATAAGTCTATTAATCATTGTAAGAAATAATAAAAACATTATATTTTACAATAATATCTGAATTCCTAAAATGTTTAGGTCTTACTCTTGAGGAGCAATAAAAGAACCTTCAAGACACTTATCCTTTCTTTTCAATCTGTTTTTATACCAATATTCTTTCCCCATATTGTGCTAGAATAAGTCTCAATTTCACTCATTGTTATAATGCCCAGCTACCTAACTGTTTGATTCAGTGATTTACTTTGTATTTTTCTGCCTTTTACTTCCTGGTGTTACTCCTCATCCTTCTGGTTTCTGGAGAGAGGTTCAATGAAGGAGTGTTGATGAAAGCAAGAAAACAATATGGCAAAAGCAAATCTGGATGAATGTTTTTGAAGACATGCTGAATCTCACAAATTGGGTCCCCTTATCCATGGTGACAAAAAAGCCCCTGTAGTTTGGTATCTAACCTTTAAATAGTTTTCAGTGTCAGCTGGAAAGAACAGGAGCAGTGTATCTACAAATGTCCACAATGTCTTTCAGAGAGTGGTTAACTCATCTGCAACTACTATTTTATGTAAGAGCCAGCCCTTGAACATGAATGTGTCCTGATCAACAGTTTTGCTTCATGATGCAGAGGAGATTATTTTTTATGTTTTAAGCTTTTTTTGGGCTGTTGTATGTGCATATATGGGTGTATTGCAACAACATTGCAAGGCTCTGGTCTTTCAAAATAGTGTCTATTTTCTCTTTCTTACATGGTCTCCAAAATATTCTGATGAACAGAAGAAACTAATCTTCTTAGGAAGTCAGTCTGCTTGTCTTGGCTAGTTCAGAATTTATTTAACCATGGACTTTTAACTGCCTGTCCAATCAGATTCTCTGGGGCATAACTGATGCCAAAAATATATAGGTCCATCAATAATTAGGGAGCTGGATCTTCACAGGCATTTAACTGGTCATTTTAAAACTGCCCCAGCAGGCTTGTCAGAGGGAGTCCCCATGGATCATATTAGCAGCACTGGTTTTGCATCAGTCCTCTCTTTGAAAGGTTTCTTCTTCAGATTTTGACCTTTTGGCCTTTTTTTTCCAGTTTTGGCACTTTGTATAGGAAAAATGTCATGCTTAATCATGAAGACCATATAAGTTTATAAGTTACCACTCTCTTGCAGATCTATCATGGTATTTTATCAAAGGCAGACCTAATTCAGGGTGAAGTTGCTTGAGATCATTATTGCTGACATTTCATGATGAGGAGACCATTTAGATGAGAGACAGTATTCCCAACCTTACAGTGCTTGGAATCTGATTGCATTTAATCAGATCTCCTGGGTAATTACGCTCAGTTAGTGGTGAGGAGAAAGACTTTTAGACTCTTGTAAAAAATAAACTTTATAAAAAAAACAACAACAACAAAAAAACAAGCATTAAAATTGCCACTATGTCACACAGAAGTTCTTCAATCTTTGCAAGTTAAATAGCTGTGAAAGCTGTTCAGTATTCAGAGGGGGATGAAAAAAGTGGCTGTTAGGGCACAGAGATTTCAGCTCTTCCTCCTTACTTCTTATTAGGACAGTGACATTTTCCAGTTTTTGTCCTTCTAAAGCTGTCTTCACATGCTCTGATATATAGCCTAATTTAGATTTGTTTCTTTGAAGGTTATGTGAGGGGCTTTATCTAGTTACATTGATGGCATTTTGTTAACAGAGGGCAATGGACAAGTATGACAAGAAATAGGAATTCTTCAGGAGATAGATCCCCAAATCCATAAGCCAAACAAGGTTATGTAACAATTTTGGTCATTGGTTTTCTGATCCTGTGGACCTGAACTGATGCATTGATTGATGTATTCTGCAGTTTTTCCAATTTGCAGTGTCTGAGGACCTGAAAGTAGGCACAGCAATGTTGGTGCAGTCTTAATGAATTAACCTTCCTCATAGGCTTTTATTTTAAATTCTTTATTTTTCTCAGTGGTGGAACATTTAGAAACAAGGAACGAAAATCAGTACATTAGTCTTTTTTTCTTGTGTTCATTACAGCCCCTAGCATTATACATAGAAGTGGACAGAGGTATTTTCAGTATTATGAGGTCTTAATTGATTAGTAGCTAACAGTTTGTCACATTATGATACATTAAAATCATATGCAAGATGACACTGTTCTCAATGGCCTATGTAATTTGTATTTTATGGCATCTAGTCTCTGGTTTCAAAAATTTATCTCACTCTAGTTTAATGTTCATTTTTAAAAGAGAAATGGATAAAATAATAACATAAGAACTGTAACCCAAGTTCTTCACTGATATGGATTGCTTCTGCATGTTGGTTTTTTTAAAGTAATTGTATGGATGTATCAAGAAAGCTTTTAGCTTTGTGTTGTGAGCTATGTTCACAATACAGGATATCATACCAGCTGGTCAACTAATGATGGTACAGAATATATCAATGGTGCTTTTGATGAGTAGATATTATGAGATTGAGGCACATCAAAACTTCTTGAAGGGATTCCATCTTTTGTTTGAAGCACTGTGACATGTGGATGTCATAGACTTAGTGGGACTGGGAAGGAAGAACATTTCACTGAGCACACAGATACTCCATCAGAATGTTTTTTGAATTCTAAACATGTCTTTATTAGTGGTATTTGTTTGCTATTTTAGTTTTAGATACTTTATTTAGTTTTTGTGATATGCTTTTATACCCATAAATTAACATATATTGTATTTCTCTTTGAGAAAAAAAAAAAGGTATTTTTAATTTGATTGATGATAAAATGTCCACAAGAAAAACCACTTCAAGAAGTGTGTAACTAGAAAAATGTATGGTTAAGGAACTGTAAACCAATTCCTCTGCTAGTTCGTGACTCTTGCTATCATTTGCTTCAAGTGGTGGTGTAAACAACATATTGGCTTCATTATGTTTCCTTTTGTAAATATCTGGTCTGTGTATGATCTATGAACAGTACTCATGAATTGAATGGAACAGAGCAAGTTGAAGAGCTCTTCTGGCTAAGGGACTAGTTGCTCCATGTTACATTTACATTTTCCCATAATTACCTAATAAGCTCTCTGTTACAGTGCATTTATACTTATGGCTGAACAGGTACATAAATATAAGTCATAGGATACAGTAATGAGTGAGGCAGGATACCTATGCACTGCTTAGTTGCATACTTACATTCTATTAAAAGCATTAGTGTTTTCCTTCACCCATGGGTGTAGAATTAATTTTCCATTTCTTAGTGACACCCTTCTTGAAAACTGGATAAAAAAATAATCATCTTACTGTAACCCTGGTTCAAGGAGGCTGTTTCAAGTCAGCAAAATTAATAATTTTGAAAATTTGAAAATTATTTTGGGGCAGTGTGTCTTCCTCTTGTCAGTATTCAGGTAAATGGTCTGTTCATACTGTTAAAGCAAGTCCCCTATCTAGCCACTGTGTGCAGAGAAAACTCTCATGAAGGCTAAGGGAAAGGCAGTAGCCATTGATTGGTGTTAATTTGAAAGTATTAGTGATTTGAACTTGGTATGAGAAGGAGGCAGAGAAGGTAGCATTCACACAGTGTGTATTACAGCAGTATGAGCATTTAACTAAATTTCTCTGTTTCTTGCTACCAGAGCTGGTCAGTAGATCAGTGTTAAAAAAATTTCCAGCGCAAAGTACAGCTTCTGCAAACTGAGCATTCTTTTGAGGAGATTTTTACTTGCTAAAAAAATAATGTCCTTTAGGATGTATTCTGCTTTGTTTTTAACTGAATATCATAGGAAATCATGCAACTAAAATATTCTGGGGGAAGTGAAAACCAGTATAGGAGCTTAGTCTGTTGGAGAAAAATAGAAGGAAGAAGACACCTGAAGAACACATGTTTAAGAATATAAAAATGATTAACTTAAATCAGCCAAAAGGCAAATTTAAGTCCACTATCTTGTCTCTTCAGCACGGCCTGATAATGGATGCAAAAAGAGGAGTTATGAGTAGAGCTTTTACAGAATAGTTCCTCCACTGATTAATTTTTCTTGTTCTGGAAATGTGCAGTTTAGTGCTGTACTACATCGATTACTGTACTATAGCACCATATGTAAATGCAATTTAATGTCAAACTGACTTAAAATAAACTTCTTTATTTGGTTCAGAGCACCAGAATAGATTCATTCCAGTCAAGGATGTTGACAAGTTTTGTTTTGTTGAAAAAAATGCAAGTGCTGTTTAATAGTCTCATCATAGGAAATTTTTACTGTGTGAAAAAGTTTTGCCTTGTTTTTATTACAATACGGGATGAAAGCAAAAGTTGAAATACGAAAATGTCTTTTGAGGTGAAAAAAAATACAGACTTGCTTAACTCCACATATTATCCCATGTTTAATATATAACAGATTGTAATAAGCATCAAAGTGAAATGGAGATGCGTCCTTTCTAAAGAAAACAAGGCAATTTTTGTGATGATTAATGATGTTTTTGTATAGTACTGTTGGAAAAAAAAGTTTATTTTTAAACTACTTTTGGCATTTTCATACAGCATGTAGTACATTTGCTAAACATATGAAGAGGTTTGCATAAATAACATTTAAAATTAGGAGACTTATTTTGGAACATTTTGAGACCACTTTTTTATAAATTGCAGTTTCTTCAATTACTGTTTTTCTGATCTTTCACATACAATTGATAGCATATTCAGAATGCTGTGTATCAGAGGAATATGTTTTAGACATTAGTTTTGCTCACTAACTTTTCACCTTTGAAGAATTTTGTATGCATTAAGTCACAAAGGAAA